GGGTTGCCAAAGCTATCAAGCGATGGCGCAAAGAAAAAATTGGAGATACAAGACTGCAACTTGCCCTTGTCAAGGAAATCCTACTCCAGCTAGAGGCTGCTCAAGAGCATAGAGCCCTCACCCAAGAAGAGCTTGAATTAAGACGTCGCCTAAAAATCCGTAGCACGGGCCTAGCGACGATAGAAAAATCCAGAATAAGGCAGAAATCCCGGTTCACAAATATCAGATGTGGCGACGCAAACACTAAACTGTTTCACATCCGTGCGAGCTCAAGGGCGAGGAAGAAAGACATCCAATGCCTGCAGGATGATAATGGGATCGCTGTTGCGCATGAAGGTAAAGAAAAGATAATTGGCGATTACTTTCGGGATCATTTAGGCTCTATGGCGCAGAGACCGGTTACCTTCTTGTGGTCTCCACTTGGTTATAATTCCCGCGACCTCTCTGAGCTAGAGGCACCCTTCACCCTGGAAGAAATAAAAGAGACCATTCACTCCATGCTGGGGGACAAGGCACCAGGTCCAGATGGATTCACAGGGGCTTTCTTCAAGACCTGTTGGGAAACCATCCAGTTTGACATAGCGGCGGCCATTAATACACTTTTTGATATGAACTCTCAGGGATTCGACCTACTAAATTCAACGAACATCGTCCTCCTCCCAAAGAGACCCGATGCCAAGCGTGTTACTGATTACAGGCCAATCAGTCTGATTCACAGCATCGCCAAAATATTCTTCAAGCTCCTCGCAAATAGGCTTGCACCGCTATTGGACTCCTTAGTCTCAAAATGCCAGAGCACCTTCATAAAAAAAGCATTCATGACAACTTCCTCTATGCCCAGAACACTGTCAGATGTCTACACAAGTCCAAGACCACGACCCTTTTCATGAAGCTTGACATCCAGAAGGCATTTGACACCGTAAACTGGAGCTACTTATTGGAGGTGCTATAGGCCATTGGATTTGGACCTCGCTGGCGCGAATGGGTCTCCATACTGTTTCGCACGGCATCCTCCAGAGCACTACTGAACGGCGTCCCGGGTACAAAATTCCACCATGCCTGAGGGGTGCGGCAAGGCGACCCACTCTCGCCCATGTTATTCATCCTTGCGATGGACCCTTTACAACGGTTATTGGACCTCACCACTGGCCACAACGTCCTCACACGGCTGCCCCTTGCCGCACCAAAATGGAGGACTTCAATGTACGCTGATGATGCGGCAATCTTCTTAAACCCCAAAAAAGAAGACATCGACGCTGTCAAAATTATCCTTGAAGCCTTCGGCAAGGCATCGGGTCTGAATATTAACATGGACAAAAGCTCAATCCATCCGATTAGATGTGAGGACATCGACCTCAACCAAGTCCTCTCGGCATTCTCAGGTGCCAGAGGAACCTTTCCTTGCTGTTACCTTGGGATGCATCTACATGTCAGGCCTCTACAAAAAGTGCACGTCCAGCCTCTCATAGAATGCATTGGCAAAAGATTGCCAGGTTGGAAAGGCAAACTTCTAAACAAAGCAGGATGGCTAACATTGGTCACTTCAGTACTCTCTTCCATGCCTACGTACCACCTCACTGCCTTCCCGCTCGCCGCTTGGGCCAAGAAGCAAATTGACAAATTTCGAAGGTTCTTTCTATGGAATGGAGAGGAGAATGCAAATGGAGGTCACTGCCTTGTCAACTGGCCGTCAATTTCCAAGCCAAAAGCCCTTGGAGGCCTGGGGGGTGCCTGAGTTGGACAAATTCGGGAGAGCATTGCGATTGCGATGGCTATGGCAGGAGTGGACGGACCCCTCCAAGCCGCGGGCTGGATCCGAACTCCCTTACAAACCGGTTGACAGACTGCTCTTCAACGCATCAACCATCGTCACGGGCGGGGATGGCATGAAAACAAAATTCTGGCATCACAACTGGGTAGATGGAGAAGCTCCCAGGAACCTAGTGCCGCATCTCTTTGAGTTGGCAAGAAGGAAGAATAGATCTGTGCAGCAAGAACTGCACAACCATGCCTAGATTAGGGCACTTCGGGGTAGGATCACAACGGCCACCCATGTGGAAGAATTCGTATCCCTCTAGATCATATTACAGAATGTTCAGCTGCAGCCAGGAGTGCAAGACTCCATTGTCTGGAAATGGACGCCTGATGGAAAATACTTGACTCGCTCGGCGTACCAAATTCAATTCCAAGGGAGCTTCAGAAAATTCCGTCCAGACCTCATTTGGAAAGCTCACACGGAAAATAAATGCAAGTTATTTGCATGTGAAAGCATCTAGGCCCCTAGTTGGGTTTCGGTGATTAATGACAATACGAGATTACTATGACTAACATGTGTTTTGCAGAGGCAATTAAGTTAGGTCATGGTAATGGCAATTGATTGGGCAATCATGGTTGTCATGCCCCTACGATCGAAATCGTTTTGGTTTTCAAAGGTGGACGACAAGGTTAAGGATGGACTAGTTCTAAGTGTCGTTTGGTGTTGAAGAGACATTTAGAGTAGTTTAGGACTTTGTTTTTCCTTTGGCCGTACTATTAAGGGGGGTATGGACTAGTAGCTTGACCTAAGTGAGTCTAGTGGGTTAGATGTGGTGCACACTTGTCAAATCTAGCACTAGGTAGCTCCTAAGTAGCCCTAGCATCAATTGAAAAAAACTTCATTCACATATGATTTCGAGTTGAAAGTGAATGGAGGGTCAAATGTTGACCGGATGCTGGTTCCGGTGTGATCGGAAGCTGGTAGTAGAGTTCGGTCAGTTCATTTGATCAAGTGAAGTCGTCTGGATGCGACCGGACGCTGAGTAAAAATTGACCGGACGGTGGGTGCCAGAGTCCGGTCAACTCCAGTAAGATTCCAGAGAGGGAGAATCCTAATCGAACAAGTCCGATCAGTGCTGACCGGATGCTGGTCAGGTTCCAGTTACTAACCGGACGCTGAACAGCAATGTGACCGGACGCTGGGTGCCAGAGTCCGGTCAACATCAGTAAGGGTCTAGAGAGCAGTTTTTGTGACTGGACACGTCCGGTCAGTGCTGACCAGACGCAGGTCAGAGTCCGGTCACAACTTAACGGCTCTGTTGCGGGGAGAACTGACCAGAGCGTCCGGTCACCTTGACCGGAGTGTTCGGTCACCCCGCAGAGTGCTGACTCAAGCACATAACGGTTCGTTTTGAATGAGGGGGTATAAATACTTCCTCTATTCATTTAAGGGAGTACTCTTGCCCATTTTAACAGCTGAGAAACACCCTTGAGAGTGCTTAGGAGAGCAAGAGCCTAGTGAGGTGATTGAGATTTGAGAATCCAAGATTAAGGCCTCATTATTGAAAAGAGAGTAGCAAGTGTGCGTCCACCCTTCTCATTAGGCTTGTTGTGGTCAAGTGAGAGTTCTTGCTTGTTACTCTTGGTGATCGCCATCACCTAGACGGCTTGGTGGTGATTGGAAGTTTGGTGATCATCCGACGGAGCTCGTGGATGACCCAACTCAAGTTGTGAGCGGTTGTGGGTGATTTACCGCGACGGTGTGTCAAAGAATCAACCCACAGAGAGCACTTGATCCTTACGTGGATCAAGGGGGAGCTACACCCTTGCGTGGGTGCTCCAACGAGGACTAGTGGGGAGTGGCGACTCTCCGATACCTCGGCAAAACATCGCCGCGTTCCTTCTCTCTTTACTTTAAGCATTTACATTTGAGCAATTCAATTCTTGTCTTTACATTCTTAGAATTGTCATGCTAGGGTAGGATTAGAACTTAGGGTGCTAAACTTTTGTGTGGTAGATCAATAGAACCACTTTCTAGGCACAAGGGGTGAAGTGGGCTAAGTGTAGGGTTTATTTATTGCAAAGAATTTTAGAATTAGCCCAATTCACCCCCCTCTTGGGCATCTTGATCCTTTCAGCATGGATCCTTATCCAGAACAAAATCCTCACAGCAGATAATTTGCAACTAAGGAATTGGCCACATCAAGATCACTGTGTCATGTGCAATGGGCCATTGGAAACCGGCCTTCACCTGTGCCTGCTATGCCCTGTAGCTAAAGAGGTTTGGTGTCTTGTGTTGTCATGGGAGCACTTCGACACGGACTTAATCCGGCATCAAACCCAACCAACAGAGATAACAACATGGTGGGAACAAACGGCAACCAAAGTCCCAAGGGAGCGACGACGACACTTCAACGGGGTGGTGATATACACGATGTGGAATATTTGGAAGGAAACAAATAGAAGGATTTTCCAAGACGCGGCCATGGATGCTCGACAAGTGGCCTTGAAAGCCAAGGAAGACATTAATATGCGTGTTAGGGTTATTAACAACCTGACTTAGCCTCCACTGTGTAACCCCCCAAGTGGGGTAGGAGCCGGGTGTTTCCTGTTTTTTCTTCTGTGCGTGTCCGGTGGGGCTAGTCGGACTTCCGGACCTTCCTGTACATAAAACCTATTTACTTTCTTAATTGAGAGGCAGAGCTCCTCCTAGGTTTTCGAAAAAAAATATGTGAACTGGACAGTAATATAAATAGGACAAAAAACGATAGTTTGCCAGGGCATGGACAATGGTACATAAAAAAAATCATCCAAGAAGTTACTGCAAGGACAGGTGTCTACATCGCATCAGTTTTATTATCACCACCAATTCTTGGGGTCTGAGCTATGCCAAACAGGGTCGGAGGTCTGCTAGACAAGCCCTGCTCACAAGAATAAGATGGATCCAACATCAGGTTTCTTTTGTTTCTAGGTTAAATTCAGGATGGTGATTGAGATTATATAAGAGAAACCTTGCACCATATGCCAGCACGCCATCTTTGCCAAATTCAAGGTGGGCCCTTATGTTAGTATAACCACTCATACGTTGTAGACACCAACCTCCAACAAACCTATCTGGCTGTCTCCACCAACCACTATCACTAACTGTCATGCAAGAATATCCCCCGGCCGGCATTTCCAGCTTCCACTTGTATGTTCACATCGATCATCCACATGTGACAGGCCACAGCTACCAAACAAAGGAATCAAGCGGGGAAGGTACACTGCACGATCGGCACCTTCTTGTCAATGCGGTGCTGGTAGTAGAGGTCGATGCAGTCGATGCCGAGCCGCTTGAGGCTGCCCTCGCACGCCGCGTGCACGTATGCTGGGTCACCGCGGATCTCCCACTTGCCGTCGGCGAAGGAGACGGCAAACTTGGTGGCCAGCTCGACCTTCTCCCGCACCCCGCCTTGAAGCGCCTTCTCAGAATTCAAGCATTACATCAAACATCTTCAGTGCAAACTTGAAAATGGCCAAAGAAATCGATACCAACAAGGATCTAAAATCGACCTTGCCCAGTAGGATCTCGTTAGTGTGTGGGCCGTACATGTCGGCGGTGTCGAGGAGGGTGACCCCGGCGGCGACAGCGTGGTGGATGAGCTTGATCATGTCGGGCTCGGGCTTGGGCGGACCATAGAAGAAGGGCATGCCCAAGCAGCCGAGGCCCTGCACGGAGACCTCTAGCCCCTATTGGTCCCTAGCTGCCCTGCACAGGTAAGCAAGTAGCTTACCAGCACACACACTCACTCACTATGGCTATAGGTAGAAGAAGAGATTGAGAACAGCGCACACACACACTCAGCACAAGCACCAGCGTTGGCCGAAGCCCTGCCCTTTGGTTTGTGGCAACTGAACTAAGTATTCCATTGTCCTTTGGATGGAATATATACAACTCTAGCTGTACCTCTACCAGGTACATAGTTGTTGGCCAACTACCTACTCCTGAGTACAAGAGTACACCAACTACCTACTCCTAAGGTACAGGGTATACCAACTACTCTTAGCAGTACAAAGCTTACCTCAGCCCACTACCAAAACATGGCTGATGTAATAGCTACCAACTAATATACTAGAGGTGGCCTATTGCAATACTGCTACATCTACAGGAACTGGTCGGCAGAGCCGATCAGTCCCCAACTCCCAACAGGGAGTGGTCGGCCAAGCCGACCAGTCTCCAACCAAGGAGAAATGGGGAGCAGCAGATTATATCTAATAATGCTTCCCCTAATCCTACTGCTAGCCCGCTACCTTAACCTCATCCATGCCAATCATCTTCCTCAGCTCCATGAACCGCAGGCGTCCGAGTGACTTGGTGACGATGTAAGCGAGCTGTCTGCCGGTCTCGACAAACTCGATGATGATCTGCCCTCCATCGATGCAGTCCTAGAGGAAGTGGAACTTGATGTTGATGTGCTTGCTCTGGTCATGGATGACAGGGTTCTTGGTGAGGGCGATGGCGGGCTGGTTGTCCACCATCAGAGCTGGCGATGAGCTTCCTTGCTGGTCAGCTCGCCCAACAGCTGGCACAGCTAGACAGCCTGGCACGCCGCTGTGGCCGCTACGACGTATTCCGCCTCACACGTCAACAGCGTCATGATCTTTTGCTTCAGTGACTGCCAAGCAATGGGGGGCGCTCCAAAGAAGATGAGCACGCCAGAGGTGCTTCGTCGCCCATCAATGTCGCCCGCCATGTCCGCATCGCTGAAAACAGTGAGCTCCGGGTCACCTTCCTTTGCCTTGGGGTGTGCCTCATTGAACATTGTGAGCCGCAACCTTCCCATGCCACCACTCTTGGGGAAGATGATCGCTTGATCGAGCATCCCCTTGACATAGCGCAGCAACCTTTTCACTGCCGACTAGTGATCTTCGCGCGAGTCCTCCATGAAACGGCTGACATACCCAACCGCGAACGCAATATCCGGTCGGGTATGAGTGAGGTAGCACAGCCCATCGATGATACTCCGATAGCGCATCACGTCCACCTTCGCAGCAGTGATGTGCTTGCTCAGCTTCAGCCGCTCCTCCATTGGAGTCACGCACGGCTTGCACTCTACCATGCCGCCGTGCTCCAGCAGCTTCTCCACATAGGCACGCTGACCCAGGGAGATGCTCTGCTTCCCCTGCCTCACCTCGATGCCAAGGTAGTAGGAGAGCGCGTCGAGACCGCTCATCTTGAAACGAGCCACCATCTTGCGCTTGAAACCATCGATGTCCTCTGCTTGCTCTCCGGTGATGATTAAGTCATCCACGTACACGCTGTCGACGAGCTCCTCCTTCCCCCGTCGCCGCGTATAGAGCACGTGCTCTGTAGTGCTACGAGTGAACCCAAGCTCACCCAAAGTGGCATCGAGCTTGGCGTTCCACGCCTGAGGGGCCTGCCGCAACCCATAGAGTGCCTTGCGTAGCTTGAGCACCATGTGCTCAGCGCCCTTGACGGCGAAGCCCGGAGCTTGCTTGACAAAGACCGACATCATGAGCTCACCATTGAGGAACATAGACTTGACGTCGAGGTTGTGGACACGCCAATCCTTCGCTGCTGCCATGGCCAACAGCAAGCGAATGGACTCCATTTGCACCACCAGAGCAAAGACTTCCTCAAAGTCGATGCCCTCACGCTGCACGAAGCTGCGGGCGACGAGCCGAGCCTTATACTTGACAATGGTGCCGTGCTCGTCCCGCTTCACCTTGTAGACCCACTTCAAGCCGATCGGCCTATAGCCCATTGGTGGATCTACCAGCTCCCATGTGCCATTGTCCTCGATGGCCTTCATCTCTTCCAACATCGCCCGTCGCCAATTGGCGTCGTGTTCAGCCACTGCGAACATCAATGGCTCCTCGGCACTAACAAGGAGCAGCTCTGGATCATCGAGCAGCCGACTCACTAGGCCTGTGGCCCCTACATTACCGACGATGTTGTCCAGCCTACGAAATCGGACCTCCTCGCCATCGTGGAAGGCATCCACGAACTCGTTGATGTCGGTCGAAGGGGAGGTGAACTCGATCGGTGGTCCCCGGCTTCCCTGTTCTACCAGAGTGGTTGGCATCGCTGCTGGACCACTTGGCACCATTGCCGGAGTGGTCGGATCCACTGTTGGAGCGGTCGGCACCACTCCTGGAGTGGTCGACTCCACTGCTGGAGCACTTGGCACTGCTGCTGAAGTGCTCGGCCCCCCCTCTACAGTGCTCGGCACCCCTCCCGGAGTGCTCGGCACTGCCCCAGGAGTGCTCGGCTCTATTGCTAGAGTGGTCAGCACCTCCTCTCCAGCGTCTCCACCACCGTGGATGACCATGCGCTTGACGACGAAGGTGCTGGTGAAGCCGCTAGCTTCCCCCGTGCCCAGACTGTCCTAGTCCTAGGCCACCTTCTCATCAAACAAAACATCCCTAGAGATCACCACCTTACCTCTCTTGGGATCATAAAGCCGATAGGCCTTGCTGCCCTCCTCGTAGCCCAGGAGCACCATTGGCGTGCTCCTGTCTTCCAACTTGCCGAGGCGAGGCTTAGTGTTCTTCACATGGCTGACGCAGCCAAATGTCCTGAGGAAGGACACATTCGGCTTGCGTCCATGCCAAGCCTCGAACAGTGTCTTGCCCTTCAGGGCCTTGGTGGGCACGCGGTTGAGGATAAACACCACCATGGTCACCGCCTCTTCCCAGAACTCCACCGGCATCTTCTTAGCCTTCATCATGGATCGAGCTATGCCGACCACCGTTTGGTTCCACCACTCCACCATGCCATTCTATTGTGGTGAGTATGGTGCGGTGTGGTGTCGCACCATGCCCTGATCCGCGCAGTACGCAGCAAATTCCACTGAAGTGAATTCGCCACCATGATCAGTTCGCAGCACGCGTAGCTTCTTGCCGCTCTCCACCTCCGCGCGTGCCTTGAACTTCTTGACCGCTTCCGCCGCCTCAGTCTTGCTGGTAAGAAGCTGTAGCCACATGTACCAGCTACAGTCATCCACTAGCAAGATGAAGTACTTGCGCCCGCCGGGCATCGCCGGCGTGATCGGTCCACAGAGGTCACCATGGACCAGCTTGAAGGTCTCAGCCGCACGGTACTTCACCGTCTTCAGGAATGGCAGCATTCTTTGCTTCCCGGCCAGGCAGCTGTCACATAGCTCGCCACTCTCAGAGAAGGCTGCCTTGGAGCCCGTCATGTGGTTACTGGCGCCGGAGTCCAGGTACCACCGCTGCTCCTACTCGCCGCCCACATGTTTGAGGTGGACTTAGGCGCGTGATTCATCAAGGTTGACAGCTTTCAGAGCCTTCTCAGGCCCTTCCACCACCATCACCTCTCCCTTCTCCTTGGACTCAACGTCGTGCAGTGCATAGAACATCGCTATCAGGAGAGTGGCCTTATCATCATCATCAGCCTGTGCCAGATGAGCCTCAGCCTTCTTCTCCTGCTTGCGATTTGGGCACTCCTTTGCCCAATGGCCTGTCTTTCCGCAGCGCTGACAGGCATTGGGGTCGTCCTTCTTCTTCTTCTTCTTCTTTTTCTTCTTCTTCTTCTTCTTCTTCTTCTTCTTCTCCGAAGAAGCCTTGCCACGGTGCTTGCCATCGTCACCGCGGTTGGAGGAGGCTTCCCCAGACTTCTTCTCCTTCATCCGAGCAGCCCACTCCTCCTCTGTCAGCAGCAGCTTGCAACTGTCTGTCGTTGCTGTGGCCTGCTCCATGCGCTCATCCACCGCCCACAGATGGCCTGTCACATCCTCAATGGTGAGGGTGGACAAGTCCAGCATCGTCTCTATGGAGAGAGCAATCTGGATGTAGTTCGCCAGCATGGAGTGGAGGTACTTGGAGACCGCCTCTTCTTCGTCGATGGTGACACCGTGGCTCCTCAACTTGTTGATGAGCGTTTGCAGGTGGAGGGAGAAATCCTCCACCACCTCACCATCCTTGAACTTGAGGTTGGCGTACTCCTGCTTCAGTAGCTGGGCCATCGCCTTCTTTGCGTGGTCAGAACTGACGCGCATCACCGCAGTGGCCTCCCACGTCTCCTTGGCAGAGCTCTTCGCGTCCAACGGCTCCCTGTACTCCGCTGGCACAGCAGCGAGGATGGCTTCCAACGCTAACATGTCGTCTTCTTCGTTGTCGGTTCCCTTGTCAATGGCATTCCAGAGCCGTCGGGCTCTGAGCTTGACCTTCATGGTCACCGCCCATTCACCATAGTTGGTGCGAGTCAGTGTCGGCCAACTGGTGCCGCTGACCTCCCGCACCATACACACAACGACCTCCTGTCGTTGTTGGGCAGACACAGTAGCGCCGCTGCTGTCGCCCATCTCTAAACCGTCCGTCATCGTCATCGGTTGTCCGGCGACGGTGCTTGTACGGCTCCGATACCACTTGTTGATCCCTAGCTGCCCTGCACAGGTAAGCAACTATGATCACTGGCTGCCCTGCACAGGTAAGCAACTAGCTTACCAGCACACACACTCTCACTATGGCTAGAGGTAGAAGAAGAGAACAGCGCACACACACTCAGCACAAGCACCAGCGTTGGCCGAAGCCCTGCCCTTGGGTTTGTGGCAACTGAACTAAGTATTCCATTGCCCTTTAGATGGAATATATACAACTCTAGCTGTACCTTTTCCTACTCTTTATTCTTTCTCTTTTACATTTGCATCAGGAACATTTTCCTACTCTTTATTCTTTTCCACGCCCTTCCACCTTTAGATCTTTAGATTGACCAACCAATACGTGAGGGGAAAGAAATACGCACGACTTAGAGTCCGCGGATCTTTACATGCAAGAAGGGATTTTTCCCCGAGAGTTCAAGATTGGGAGGCGAGTTTTAAAGTTGTCGGAGATGATTTTTTTTCATTCTTCCCAAAAATCATGGATTGGGAAGAATTATTAGGTATTCTTGGAGATGCTCTAATAGTAGAGCTATCTAGTAATATCATTAGAACTCTTACATTGTAACCGACTAGAGACTTGCCTCCTGTACTATATAAATGAGGGAAGGGCTCCCTAGATCGAGGGGGACAACTGACGTGTATGTTCACATCGATCATCCACATGTGACAGGCCATAGCTACCAAACAAAGGAATCAAGTGGGGAAGGTACACTGCACTCATCGTGACCTCGATCCGCACCTTCTTGTCAATGCGGTGCTGGTAGTAGAGGTCGATGCAGTCGATGTCGAGCCGCTTGAGACTGCCCTCGCACGCCGCGTGCACGTATGCTGGGTCACCGCGGATCTCCCACTTGCCGTCGGCGAAGGAGACGACAAACTTGGTGGCCAGCTCGACCATCTCCCGCCCCCCGCCTTGAAGCGCCTTCTCAGAATTCAAGCATTACATCAAACATCTTCAGTGCAAACTTGAAAATGGCCAAAGAAATCGATACCAACAAGGATCTAAAATCGACCCTGCCCAGCAGGATCTCGTTAGTGTGCGGGCCGTACATGTCGGCGGTGTCGAGGAGGGTGACCCCGGCGGCGACAGCGTGGTGGATGAGCTTGATCATGTCGGGCTCGGGCTTGGGCGGACCGTAGAAGAAGGGATGCCCAAGCAGCCGAGGCCCTGCGCGGAGACCTCTAGCCCCTGCGAGCCCAGCTTGATGCTGGGGACGGACACGGAAGCGGCAGCCATGGCAGGTGCTGAAAGATGCTCGTCGGCCGTCGATGCTCTCGATCTCGCTGCCGTCCGGCCATGACTATAAAAGAGTGAGAGGCCCTCTGTGCCAGCGGGGCCAGTGGGCACTGCACATGTGAGCCAAAACATGTTAGTAGGCCCTCTGTACAAGAAATGATTTTCAAGTTGGTTTCATTGTTTTTTTAATAAAAATCCTAAAGGTAGATTCGGATATGAACAATTCAAATAGAGTATTTAGATCTCGAAAAAATATATCTAGAAGATTTCCACTTCTAAGAAAATAAGAAAAATATCCAAACAATCTAAAAATTTTCATAACATTCTCATCAATGTCTAAATATGTTTTTAAAAACTTTCTAAAATATGATATAAGACCAACATAAATGCAACATATACTAATAATATTGAACTAATTAGAATGTTTTGATAATTTTATAGATATTTTCTTGTTTTCCTAGAGCTAAATATAATTACTAGAAGCTTCTAGATATATTTTCGTCCTTATTTAGGTATCTCATGTCTCAATATTCTTTAGGATTTTTCTCAAAGTTTTAGGGCCTGTTCGCTGGTTGGTGTTGGTGCTGGTTTTGGCTGGCTGGTGCTGGTTTTTTGGGAGAGGAAAACACTGTTGGCTGGCTGGTTTGGGCTGGCTAAAACCAACAAGCGAACAGGCTGTTAGTAGTAAGCTTAAAGATATTTGTCTTGGTTTAGAAAATCTTATCCGGTGTTTATTGGATTTTTAGTGTCTTGAAAACCACCTCTAACTGGGATAGTTGAGAGAGAAAAAACTAGGCTACAATGATAGTTCAAGAAAACTAAAAAGACAAATTTAATTATTACTTTAGAAAGTTTATTATTACTAGGACATCCACAAATAGGCCCAGCCTAGCCAAAGTACAAAATCAAGAATGATCATGCCTGGTATAGCTTTGCTCAGGCTTGGGGACAGCGGGGGTTCTCAACAGAAACGAAACCGGGCCTGTAGTGTGCCCTGCAATGCTTATTCTCTACCTCATTTGTAATGTAATAAAATGTACTATATTTCTTATAATTAATAGTACGTGTTCAAACAAACGTTGACCTATCGTTTCTGTCACAATATATTGTTAATTTCTACTAAATCAATATCATCTTTTAATGGAAAGATGACTTGTGAGTGGAGTCTTCTAGCAGGAGAGCCTTATAAGTTTTTAATGTAAGTATTACGAGGGACATGTATAACCTTCAAAACTCTTCGAGTGTTCAAAGGCCCTATGTTTTTACTAGTGCAAAGCATGTTGAGCTTTTAGTCCATGCCAAGCAAACAGATCTCACATCATCACTAAAAATTGGAAAAGCTTGATATTTCAAAAGCTTTTGACACAATCTCATGGGAATACATGCTAGAGCTGCTAGAACAAAGGGGTTTCAGTGCTAGATGAAAGAGTGGAATACTCGATGTATTACTCAGGCATAGTTAGTGTACATATATAGGCTAGGTGGGGAGTCACGGTAGACAGGCCCACGAGCCCAATTACATTCCAACACTCCCCCACAGTCTGAACTGGGAGCACCGCGAACATTAAGACTGGACCTAAACTCGGAGAAGACGGACGTCGGCAATCCTTTGGTGAAGACATCGGCGTACTGGGACGTAGTGGGAACGTGTAGGACACGAACTTCACCGAGGGCGACTCGTTCTCTGACGAAGTGTAGATCAATCTCAACATGCTTGGTTCGCTGATGCTGGACCAGGTTGGTGGAGAGGTACACGGCACTGACATTGTCACAATATACCCACATGGCTTGCGAAGAGGGTGGTGAAGCTCTTGCGAAGTTGTCGCAACCAAAGAAGCCAAGAACACCGTTAGCCTGACCCGATACTCCGCCTCAAGATCTTTGGACTGGACACCGTTGGTTGACGTTTGGACGACCAGGAGATGAGATTGTCCCCGAGAAACACCGCATACCCAGATGTGGATTTGCGCGTGTCAGGACATCCCGCCCAATCAGCATCCGTGTAGACCGTGAGATCAGTTGGTGAGGTCCGGTGAAGATGAAGACCAAGATCCAAAGTGCCCTGAAGGTAGCGGAGAATGCGCTTCATAGCGCCAAGATGCGGCTCCCGAGGGTCATGCATATAGAGGCAGACCTGCTGAACAGCATAAGCAATGTCCGGACGGGTGAAGGTGAGATACTGAAGTGCTCCAGCAATACTGCGATAGTGAGTGGGGTCGGCGACGGTGACACCATCAGCAGAAAGCTTGGCATGAGAATCAACAGGAGTACTGCAAGGCTTGCAGTTAGTCATACGGCACACCTGCGAATATCCAACATATATCGACGTATTTGTGAGAGAAAGCAGGTATCTGGTGGCGCTGAACAACGACTCCTGTGAAGTGATGCAGGACCCCATGTCGGTCATAGAGAATTCTTGGCGGAGAGCTGCAGTGATCCGCTGAAGAAAAACCATGGAGGAAGCCATCAGAACAATATCGTCAACATATAGTAGCAAGAAAGCCATCTCTGAGCCTCGGCAATATATGAACAAGGAAGTGTCGGACTTTGCTTCAGTGAAACCAAGAGAGGTGATATGAGAGGCAAAGCGACGATGCGAAAGCGGTGCGGTGCTTGCTTCAACCCATACAGAGACTTGTTCAGCGGCACATAATCTGGTGCGGAGGAGTCGACAAAACCAAATTTGGCCGAGCACGATGACCTATCTCGGACAAAGTGCCATGGAGAAAGGCATTCTTCACATCGAGCTGATGGATGGGCCATGAGCGAGAGAGCGCCAAAGTCAGTACTACGCGAATGGTTGCTGGTTTGACCACTGGATTGAAAGTTTCATCATAGTCAATTCCCGGACGTGTGAAGCCGCAAGAAGACCCACCGAGCCTTGTAGCGGTCGAGAGAGCCATCAGACTTGAATTTGTGGCGAAATACCCATTTGCTCGTGACAAGGTTGACGCTTGGCGTGGTCGAGGCACCGGTGACCATGTGTCATTTGCTTGCGGGGCATCGAACTCCTTTTGCATAGCAAGGCGCCACTCGTGGTCCTTGAGCCGCTGCTGAGCAGGTGGGCACCGGAGAGGGGTCACCGTGTGTGAAGGTTCAGCGGTCGATGGGATGATTGAGTACCATCCTTGCCACAGTCGCGCATCATGCGCGCATTAGTGATGAGGAGTGATCGCTGGGCGCCGTTGTTCTTGTAGTGCGACCGGTGAGGCGATCGGCGCCACCGGCAACAACTGGGATGTGGAATCGCAGGGGCAAGAAAGACCGGTTGGCCGAGAAGAGGCCCTACTGGGTGCGTGCCGGTGGCAAAGAAGACGGCATTTGTGTGTCTTGGTCGGGGCAGCGATCTTCTTCTTTGCCGAGCTTGGGTAGTGCTTGCATTCTGCTTTGGGCGCCGGAAGCAAGACCACCGCTTCTTTGCTTGAGCGCTTGGGGGTAGTATGGCTTTCTTTGGGAGCAAAGGCTGGAAGGTGCTGATGGCGCCGATGCACCAACCGGGCGGTGGGCTAGGTAGGTGCAATCGCACGCTTGCTCTTCTGGTACACTGCATGCACGACTCTTGACCCATTGGGTAAAGAGAAATCATCAGTGTTATCCAAAAATCAAGTGCGGTGGGATCAGGGGCGAGGTGGACATATCGAAAGGAAACACCGTCTCATCAAAGACAACGTGTCGGGAGATGATGATCCGATTAGAATGAAGGTCAAGACACCGATAGCCTTTGTGATCGAGAAGAATACCCTGGGAAGACGCACAAGGGGAATGTGGTGATAATTTATGTGGAGTCAGAGATGATGAGGTTGGGATAGCGAGCCTGACCAAAAAACACGAAGGTGGGTGTAGGAGGGTTGCATGCCGTATAGTGCGAAGTATGGTGTTCGGCCGTCTAAGGTTTTTGTAGGGTGGCGGTTGAGGAGATAGGTAGCAGTGTGAAGGGAATCCGCCCAATAAACCGGAGGAAGACGGCACTGGAATGTAAGAGAGCGCGATATTATTGATGGTGCGAAGAAGCGGCCACCCGCCTGATTCTGGCGAGAGGTGTCTGGGCATGACATCCAAAGGCAACCCGTGAGTGAGGAAGAACGTGCGGGCCGAGGAATGATCAAATTCACGGCCGTTATCGCACTGAACTGCCTTGATAGTGGAGTCAAATTGTGTGCGCGCATATGAGAAAAAATGAGTGAGAACGGTAAAGGTGTCGGACTTGAGGCGTAAAGGGAATGTCCAACTATAGTGTGCAATCATCAAGAATAACAAGATAATATTTGTAGCCAGACACACTAACAATAGGAGATGTCCAAAGATCACAATGTATTAAATCAAATGGGCTAAGTGCACGAGAGTTTGACAAGCTAAAAGGGAGGCGCACATGACGACCAAGCTGACAAGCGTGGCAAACATGAGTGTCATGGCGCTTATTACATGTGATAGCATTGGAACTAAGGAGCTTGGACAAAGCTTCAGGACCAACATGACCAAGGCGGCGATGCCAAAGGGTGGTGGAAGGCGCGACAGCAGTGAGGGCGGTGGCGATGGTGCTAGGTGGTGCCGGCGAAAAGAACGGGTAAAGATCTCCTGTGCTATTACACCTGGCGATCACGCTCCGTGTCTGTAAATCCTTGACAGAAAGGCCGAATGGATCAAATTCGATGGAACAGTTGTTATCAGTGGTAAAACGACGAACGGAAATTAGATTCTTAATAATGTTAGGCGAAACTAAAACATTAGAAAGAACTAGGGGACGTCGTATGGTAAAAAAGGAGTGTGATCCGACGGAAGTAACAGGAAGCGAAGCCCCATTACCAACAATGATAGATGAAGGACTTGATGACAAGGGAGTGTGAGAGGATGAAATTATACCAGCGTTGTTGACCATGTGAGCACCGGCGCCGGAGTCGACGTACCATTCGCTTGGTCCGGGTGGAGTTAGCGACATGGTGCTGAAGTTGCTGGCGAGGGAGGACGTGTTGAAAGACCCTCCCTGCATGGGAGTCCATGCC